CTTTTGTTGTCAAAGGACAGCTGCATAAAAGAATTTGTGAATTAACCTCCATAAGCTATAGGTTTTACAAAACAAAAAGTAGGCTTTTTATTATCACCAGCTTTAATTTATTTAGTCCGTTTTGCTAGACATTCGTTGGTCACGCCAAAATATTTTTTTATCTTGGAAGCAATATTTCAGATTTTAGGTTGTTCACAAATTCCTTTATAGCGCCGCCATTTAAAACGAAAATGTTACTTGTAAACATCGTTGGAAAGGGAGCTTTGCATAGAGGACGATTATGAAAGAAAATATACAGGTTTCCATTTGAAAAACGAAAGTCACTTCAGGTTAAAGCGGAAGGGAGAGTTGATCCGCTCATCATTCCAGAAACGCCTCTTCACGACTAACTAAGCATGTACCAATCTTGGAGCGATATCTTCATTTGCCAAATAAAAATACAACGTGTTTCCAATTTTCGTTATCACCCGGTATACCCTGATTTTGGATCTAGAATGACATCACTTTGTTCACGATGTTTCCCTCATCAAGCACTTCGGTATTAAAAAAATCCACTTATAAATAGGGAACACAATTTTGATGCATACATTGTTTTTCTGCAAAGCTTCTCTGGGCGGCCATAGAATGGAAGTTTGCTTAAGAGGGCAGGCATGTCACAGCTGATCGAACGCTTCCGTGATATCAGGAGCAACGACATCGGCCTCACCACAATTGCGAGAGATATTCTAGAAGATCTCCTGAGGATAGATAGTACCAGAAACCATACTGCCTGTCGCTAATCAAGCCATGATGATCAAGGTACATGATCTGTGAACCTCTGCATCATCTATAACAGAAGGCAGAGCTATGTGCCTGCAGTTGTAAGGTTTGGTATTAGATCCTGTTTTGGGATGGGTTGGACATGAACAATTCTTCAGTTTTACGGGAAGGTGCCGGATTTGTAACATATCTGGAAGAGACGCAAAGGAACTGGAGTAAGCTCCGCGGCACACCTCTTCAATACAATGGCAAAAATCAAGTCCGGAGCAGAAGCTTCGTTGATGTCGAGCGACAAGAGCACCCGTCTTACGGTCTTATGCCTGAATGTTAACTTCCCACATAGTTACAATACTTCCTCGCTCAGAGGCATAGGGAGTAAAACGAATTACATTGTTAGATTTAAGTGGGTGAGCAGCTAGAACGCCCCATTATTTGATGGAACAGTCTTTGTTGTTTATGCTACAAAGGCCCACACCGTAAGCTGAACGTTTCCGTAAGGTACCTGTGACTATACCTGCTGTTATCACCAGGCCAGCCAAGCTATACTAAGTGACATATACATCCGAACACCCAGTTTAAATGGTTTTATTTTAATAAAAGTTGGTGAATGTATTTATCTTACTGTAAATAACAAGTGAAAAAATGTTCAGCCTTATCGGTTGGACATTTCGGTTTTTATACTGCTTTTTTTTTAATTCACTAACGCTCTAAAAATGAATATTTCAGCCGCAGTAAAGAATCAACGTTGGCGGATTTTGGTTCTTGACATCCTTTACGATCGGTTACGATGCCTAGAGTACGGAGACCTGTTCGATTTCGTCAACTTAGTGAGTTTGATAGGGGCCGTATAGTGGGACTTCGGGAAGCTGGACTTTCTTTTCGGGCAATTGCAGTTAGAGTGCAAAGAAGTGTAGACACTGTGGTTAGGTGTTGTCAGGCATGGCTTCGAGAAGGCCGTACGCAAAGAGCAAGGGGCACTGGACGCCGCCGTAGAACAACAGACCGTGAAGATCGCCGCCTAAGATTATTGGCCTTAAGGGACCGTTTCTCCACTACCAGGTCCATTGCAAATGAATGGTTTGCAGAGCACGGAAGACCTATTGGCATGCGAAGTGTTTACCGACGAATGAGAAGTTTTGGCTTGTTTTCATACCGGCCACACTGGGTCCTCCCTTTAACTCGAGAACACCGACGTAATCGCCTTGAGTGGACAACGGTCACTCTGGGATCAGGAATGTAACAGTATTGTCTTTAGTGACGAGTCTCGATTTTGTTTAGGCATGCACGATGGTCGTGCCAGGGTTAGAAGGCGACGTGGTGAAAGGAGGAATCCACAGTTTTTTGTTGAAAGACGTGTTCATCACACTGTTGGAGTTATGGTTTGGGGTGCTATAGCTTATGGTTCCAGGTCACCTTTAATCTTCATCAGAGGTAACATGAACGCGCAGCGTTATATCCACGAAGTTCTAGAACCCCATCTTTTACCCTATCTCGACACCCTGGCAGATCCAACTTTCCAACAAGATAATGCCCGACTACATGTTGCAAGAGTCACAATAGACTTCTTTCAACATAATGATGTCACATTGTTACCATGGCCACCAAGATCTCCCGACCTATCCCCAATTGAGCACGTGTGGGATATGATGGGTAGGAGATTGCTCAATTTGCAACGTCCTCCTCAGACAGACTCTAGAAGCACTTCGAGAGGAGTTGGTGGTTGCCTGGAATGAGATACCACAGGAGGACATTGACCACCTGATCAGAAGCATGCCTAGGCGCGTTGGAGAATGCGTAGCACATCAGGGTGCATCCACACATTATTAAAGGTCAAAGGACTTTAAAGCCGTGCAATCATTTTTAAATTTTTATCATTTACTTATTATGCTTCATTAAGTACTTATACAAAATTTTATTAAAATAAAACCATTTAAACTGGGTGTTCGGATTTATATGTCACTTAGTATATCATGTTGGCTATCATTTTATCGCTAACTGGCTACCGATAATAATCATCGAAATAACGTTAGAACATCATCAAGAGATTTAACTGACTATGAGTTGGCGGTCTTCCCAGGAGACCAACAGGCTGCAAAGGATTAAACTGGATATTCGAAATTCCAAACATTTTTGCTCGTTTGCGTCTCTTTGCAATAACCTATGAATAATACATCGCGGCGCAGTGTCGCGAAATATCATGTTTGCAATACATTTTCGTTGTGTTTGATCGGATGGAAGTTAACCTAGTTATTCCGAATAACATTTGTTGTGATAACGGTGGCAGAAAGTCGAGTTTCGAGCGTGACTGATAGTTGGCCATGTACATACGTGCATATGCTAATGATAGCTAAGTCAACATGTACCTACTTTGCTTTGAATATTCAGCACGAAAACAATTTTCGGAAGAGGTGGAAAACTCGTATTCCCACGCCAATAAACTGCGTTATTATTTACTCCCCATCTGAAGAAGGTGCTATAATTCAGAATTACATAAATTTTCTTTCACTGTATTTCAAAAATGAGAGATAAGAAATAATCACTGTACACTATCGAAGTACAAGTCATAATAGCCCGTATTTATAAAAATGAAGCATTTACTTTGAAGTAAAAGGTACAAGCAAAAGGTAGAAGTAAAAGGTTTTGCTATAATTCGTATTCATAATCTCTACCTCTTCCTTGCAAGCAAATGCTTCGGGACAATAAAGTAGAAGGTACGGAGATTAGCGATTTCGACAAGATATGAGTTGCAGCGTGCAATCACCGCGTATGTGGTCTGTAACCGATGGGGTTGATCTTATTTGTCTCATAATTGAAAGCAGTTCGCACGTCAATTGATGTAAGGAAGATCCATCTAACTTATTTGTGCAGCTATTTTAAAGCGAATGAAATATTTAAAATGTCTGACACCGATAGTGAACAGGAAGTTACCGAAGTTGCCCCTAACGAGATGATGTTTATCGCTGAAAAAGTCTTGTCCTGGCAGAAAGTTATGTTAAAGGCTATGGATGCGGACATAAATCCTGTACTAAGTCGGATACCAAGTGAGAGATAGATTCAGGTCTCTACTATAACCTTGTAGGTACTTACCATGCATGTATATTTTTATTAGGGGCTCTTGCAATTGGCGTGGCAAGTCAACCTTCTTTACCTACTTCAAAGGATAACATTATGGTGGAAATCGACGCTCGTCAGATTATTATGCCTCAAGTAGTAGCTAACAAAAAGCGATCCTACACATCGGTTGAAGAGGTTGCTGCAAAAAAAATTCCTCCGAAGCCTACCTTTGCTTCGGGCAAACAAGAGTCTGACGAGACGAGGCTGTTAACGACAACCCAGCTTCAACGATTAGTTTTAGGTGAACAACTGAAAGTTGCTCGTCTCCAACAACAATATTACTCTGCCAAGCTAAAAAATTTAAACGAGGCATCAAACGAAAAATCCTCGCAAGAGTATGTTGTTGTTGGAGATAATATTTACCAAAACTTGTAAATAGACGTATATGTAATATGTATAATTTATAAAAAAAAATAATTAAACGTTTATTTCCAGTTCAAACGTCTAAGTTTATTTTTAGTTTAAGTAAATACATCTTTGTACGTTTGAAGTAAACGACATATACATAGCATTACATGAAAGTTTTAGTCCTAATTATACACCTATACCGTTATTCGTAATAATTCCTCTCGCCGCCTTTGTCTTTGTGCGCGAATAGCATCTACATTTTCATTCTCTATAAATGGCAAGTCCTGTTTTTCAACTTCGTAATTTTCTTGAAAATCGTCATCTCTTAATTGCTAAGCCATATTCTGCAACACAGCACACGCAATTATAACTTTTGGAATACTGGTCAGTTTTACTCTGCATCCATACTTCAGGATAGGAAATCGCCGCTTTACTTGCCGAAATGTATGCCCAATCACAAGTCGCTCTGATGTAACCAGCCTGTTAAAGACTCTCTGATATTCCTCGTGGGGGTCGGTGTAAGGAGTCATAAGACATGACATTATACCATACCCACTGTCCCCTAGAAGAATAGTGTTTTCTTGTCTTGTCTTTTTCATGACTTCACACACTGCCGAATTTTTTCATATACGAGCATCATGGACTGATCCAGGCTAACTTGCATCTATACTAGTTATAACAGAATTCTGGTCGCATGTAACCTGTACATTAATACTGGCAAAACCGTTTCGATTTACATATTCGTCTCCAAATTGGGCTGGTTTTCCATCAAGACGAATATGCGTGCAGTCGATAACTCCAATAGCTGTGGGAAAACGGAACCTGGTCAACCATTTCTCTTTGGCCTGCATAATTTGATTTTCTGTATTTGGGAACCTGATAAATTCTCCGGCTTGTTGTACAATTCGCTCTATCATGTCATGAAATATTCTGGACACTGTGGGCTGCGAACATCCCAATTCCTCAGCTATCCCGCTCTGAAATCCAGAAATATTTTCATTTTCTGCACAGGTGACTGGGCTGCTCCACGAGTTTCGAAATCCATGCCAAGAAAGTAATTTGCCAACCACACCACATTTTCCTCCTCAAATCTAAACAACGTCTTGAAATCAGACTCACGAGGTGTACGTCTTGGTTTGTAGTATTATTATTAGCCATAATTAACACAATACTGCGACTAATCACCCGAAGATCTCTTAAACAAGCCCTTTCAGATAGATTTTATAAAACGGAAATGCACAAATTTTAAGATGCGGGCTCTAAGAGGCCGGGACAACTAAATGATAAAATGAGAAAGTTGCTGTAACCTAGATTCCTTTTTTTAGAAGCAAATCCTTTAGTTTTTAAGCAAATGCTTCTTTTTATAAATAAGAAAACGTTAACACCTTTTACTTTACAGACGCGAGACCTTTTCCTTCACTTCTTTTTATGCATATACTTTGAAGGAATTGCTTTATTTTTTGAAAGCAAAAGGTTAAACTTTTTTTATAGGTATGGTCTATTACATGCTAACAGTAATTACACACAACGCGGGCGCGGTGATGATTCCTCATAATTCTTCTCAAAGTTTTTGAAAACAAAAAAAATAAACGTAAAAAATCGTAATTTATAACGTATCCTGTTTTCAGAAAGTACAACATATAGATAACCTGTCAGGAACAGCTAATACATATTCTTCATTGGCATTATATTACTAATTATGTACTAAGTGACATATAAATCCGAACACCCAGTTTAAATGGTTTTATTTTAATAAAATTTCGTATAAGTACTGCATAATAAGTAAATGATAAAAATTTCAAAATGATTGCACTGCTTTAAAGCCCTTTGACCTTTAATAATGTGTGGATGTACCCTGATGTGCTATGCATTCTCCAACGCGCCTAGGCATGTCTTTCAACAAAAAAACTGTGGATTCCTCCTTTCACCACGTCGCCTTCTAACTCTGGCACGACCATCGTGCATGAGTAAACAAAATTGAGACTCGTCACTAAAGACAATACTGTTCCATTCCTGATCCCAGAGTGACCGTCGTCTGCACCACTCAAGGCGATTACGTCGGTGTTCTCGAGTTAAAGGGAGGACCCAGTATGGCCGGTATGAAAACAAGCCAAAACTTCTCATTCGTCGGTAAACACTTCGCATGCCTATAGGTCTTCCGTGTTCTGCAAACCATTCATTTGCAATGGACCTGGTAGTGGAGAAACGGTCCCTTAAGGCCAATAATCTTAGGCGGCGATCTTCACGGTCTGTTGTTCTACGGCGGCGTCTAGTGCCCCTTGCTCTTTGCGTACGGCCTTCTCGAAGCCATGCCTGACAACACCTAACCACAGTGTCTACACTTCTTTGCACTCTAACTGCAGTTGCCCGAAAAGAAAGTCCAGCTTCCCGAAGTTCCACTATACGGCCCCTATCAAACTCACTAAGTTGACGAAATCGTACAGGTCTCCGTACTCTAGGCATCGTAACCGATCGTCAAGAACCAAAATCCGCCAAAGTTGATTCTTTACTGCGGCTGAAATATTCATTTTTAGAGCGTTAGTGAATTAAAAAAAAAAAGCAGTATAAAAACCGGAGTGTCCAACTGATAAGGCTGAAAATTTTTTCACTTGTTATTTACAGTAAGATAAATTCATTCACCAACTTTTATTAAAATAAAACCATTTAAACTGGGTGTTCGGATTTATATGTCACTTAGTATATATAAAAAACAGAACAAATTTAGCTTACATGCGACTAAAAAATATAAACAAATTAAAAAACATTTATCAGCCAATCAAAAATATTATTTGTGTAATACCTTAATTTTATCAATTTTTGACTATGGAGATGTCGTCTATTGCGAACCAAGAAATGCTTACAAAAAGTTCAAAATAGTTTCATGAGATTTGCGTTTGGAATTCCATATCGAAACCATATCACACCTTATCTGAATAACTACAACATATTAAACATGACGAATCGCAGAAAATACCACATGTATTCTTTTATCTATAGGGTTATAAAAACAGGTCAACCGCCCTATTTAAGAGAAAGATTTGTGCCTTTGCCTGGTCCCTAGAGAACCAGAAATAATCTCAATTTTATCGTACCTAGCCATAGAACGCGTTCCTTCCGATGATCGTTTGCCTATGTGGCGGTTCACTTATGGAATAATTTACGGACTTCAGTCAAAAACATTCTCAAAACTGACAAAAACGTTGTTACAGAATCACAAGCTACTTTAGCAGCGCTTGTCTGAGCAAAAATATCATTTTTACATTCCTACTCGCTGACAAGTTGTATAGATTTGTTCTTCGCGTCCGTTGCCAGCTCCCGTTTTTGCCTTTTTGTGTTTCACCGCCTCTTCATTTGCCTCTTTATTGTTTTTTTTTTTATTTTGTTCAAGGACTTTTAGCGTGTTCAGGGCTTTCTCGCATGGACTCTTTGTATTAAAGGATCCAATGTATCGGTTTTATAATCGAGAGATTGTCCTTTTTCGTCATTGCCCTATATGTAGAATTTCCTTTGTTTATGATGTTTATTCATTAAATAAATATTTTGAATTTGAATTTGAATTAATTATATACACATTCAGACCAATACACATAATCATCCAGATGCGATCTTGCTATTCAACCAACTTTTTTCTCAGGAATAAAAACTTATACAGACTACGCGGCTTCACAAAACATATGCAACCAGCAATGCGTGTAGTTGAGTCATTTCTCCATAGATGGACACTCACAACGGTCCTTGTGAGCAAACGTGGAGTGACTGTATGCACCCTAAAAAATAACTAGTCTGCAAGATGACACTTTATAGGTTTTTTTTGACGTTTTTTACATAATACTTGTGCGGACATCAAGTTGGTGGAAACTGCGTCAGACTTTTTGATCATGGAACAGACAAATGTCAAAATGAAATAACATTGGGGAGAATTAACGACCTCTACTACAACAAGAGATATTAAAAGGAAAATTCTTTCATCCAGCCATGTATGAAATCAAGGTAATTAAATCCAAAATATGTTTACCTTTGTCTAATATTTAGAATCCTTGCAGGACCCAGCAGTTACTACAACATTTCCCAATGAAGTATATAGCTGATTCCACGGTCCACGGCTGCCCCTTAGATTAAAAATATGAACCTATGTAACCGTTCAGAGTGTACAATTTTCCAGTCAATAAATCTTAGGTACTGAGATAAGGGTAAACCCATAACATAGGGGTGTAATAAGTTTACCGCACATATCTCTGCATCCAAGACTATAACAAGAGAAGGTAACAGGTTTGTAATCAATACCGCTAACATAACCGTTGGTAAATAAAGGTACTTCAAGTATAAATTCCATTATTAGAGGTGCAATAACTTCCGCAGCACTCATAACAGTGCCTGTAACGGTAACGATTATGTCTAGACTCACATACTTGTATCGCTCCTTGGAGAATGTCTACGTGATATCCTTTGCTTGGAATACGAAACATAAAAGTCCTCCATGCAGAAAAGTACCGGGCATTATTGCTATAGCTAAGGACCGTCATATTTTCTTACAAACCAGCAGTACATTACTAGAAAGCCTTGTAAAAACTGGTATCCTCCGTCCGAAATAGTATTTAAAGCTGGCAAGTTGGCTTGTGGCAAATCGATTATCCAAAACCTTCAGATGTAGTTTATACTTTCCACGCTTACTTGCAGTGAAACTATTGTAATCGATAAAACTTTCGATGTAACCTTATACAACAGCTTGTACTAAGTTGACATTTCGCACAAAAATTTACGTTGTCACAAACGTCAAAAAAAAAACGACGAAATTCCTTTTTTTAAGATACGTAATACCCGTGACATTTCGCAGGTTTTTGGTGACATAACCTAGGTTTTTCTACCAGATATTAACTTAGCACAAGGTGCCATACACTTGTTGTGAATTCGTTTTGTAGCTGTACGTGTTGCCTAAACGTCAGCGAACAGCGATCGTAGCGAGCAAACACTATCTAGTCTGCAAGTTGACATTTTGTAGTTTTTCTTTTTTTGACATTTTCTAGGTTTTTTATACAGGCTGTTCCTTAATGATATGCGAATATTTAAGGATGTAAATCTACATGAAAAATTAACGATAGTTTGCTTTGTAAACTATGGTCCAAAAATGTTTTTGTAAGGGGTGTTGAAGTTTTAGGAAAAAAATGGAAATTAATTAATATTTTCAGAACCGATTCAGATATTTCACTGATATATAGTACGTAGTGAAAGTTGATAAAGCTGCATATTTTTCATTGCAAAAATAATTTTTAGGTTCAACAGTGGCGTGCGTACGCGTATTGACTTCAATATTTTTTAAGAAAAAAATGGTACGCCAATAGTTTTTGGCCAAATAAAAATCGTTTTTAAATTCCCTGTTCAATTTAAAATAAATGATCTGTCTTGAACTGTTTTCCTTCGATGCGCCATTTTTGAGTAAAAAAATAAAAACCGTTCTATTGTCTAACTTGCAAAATTATTAATTTAACTGGAAAAATTAAAGACAGTAGGGGAAATGAACAACAACAACTGACAACATAAACGTAACATTAAAACCAACAAACTGATTACAAAACTTGTTCACTTAGTATGCATGCTTCCGCCCTCCTTCTCATGTTTTTTATTCTATCACAAGCTGCAACTATTCGTTCTCTTAATTGCTCTACAGTGTTAATGGGACTTGTGTGCACTAGTGGCTTAAGATAGCCCCACAAAAAGAAATCTAAACTGTTGTGGTCTGTGGTCCTTGGTGGCCATTCTTGGGACCCACCGCTACCAATCCAACGATTTGGATAAACAGTTAGTGAATAATTACGAACCGCTACATTGAAATGCGCTGGTGCACCATCATGCATGTGCCACATATTGTTTCTTATTACTAACGGAACATCATTAAGCAGCAAAGGCAACTGTTGTTGAAGAAAACTGAGGTAAGTCTGTCCGTCAAGTCGTCCCGGCAAGAAGAATGGGCCAATAAAGTGGTTGTCGATGATTCCTGCCCATACGTTAACCGAAAATTGATGTTGGAAATGGGTTTCGGTTACAGCATTTTCTTCTGCCCACAAATGATTATTGTGGAAATTCTGAATGGCATTTCGAGAAAAACTAGCTTCGTCCGTGAACAGAATCATTGATTCAAATTGCGGATCTTGTGTAATACGGGGTTGTTACAAAAGAATCATCGGGTTTTAAAAATATATATTTCTGAAGGTATTACAGATATAACAGTAAGTGACATGCCACTGGAAAGGTAAAATATTCAAGATTTTAAGCATGTTATTACAAATGTTCGATGTGGGCTCCTTGCGTCACACGACATATGTCCAAACGATAGTCCAGTTCGGTCCATACACGCTGCAATGTGTCTCGATCGATATTGTCAATAACAGTAGTCATGCGTTCCCGGAATTGATCCAATGTTGTTGGCAGAGGTGGTACGTAAACCATATCTTTAATGTAACCTCAAAGGTAAAAATCGCATAGTGTAAGGTCGGGAGACCTAGGAGGCCACGCGAACAATATCAAATCTTGTGCAGTACCTCGGCCAATCCAACGGTGAGGCAGTGCCTCGTTTAAATACCGACGCACCATCTTGTTGGAATGAGAAGTTGTTAGAATCTTCTGTTAGTTGCGGAAATAACCACAAATGCAACATATCTAGGTAGGATGAACCGTTCACAGTGTTTTCGTGAAAGAAAAAAGGTCCGTACACTTTATTTTTGGATATTGCAAAAAAGACATTCAATTTTGGAGAATCCCTTTCATGTTGCACAATCATATGAGGATTTTCCGTGCACCATATCCGAATGTTATGAAGGTTCACCCCTCCACTTAAATGAAGTGTCGCTTCGTCGCTGAATACCAGACAGTTAGCAAATTCATCGTCTTCCATTGCCTCCTGCATGTTAGAAGAAAAATCAAGTCGCTTTACGTGGTCGTCAGGTCGTAAGCTTTGTAGCATCTGTAGACGGTACGGTTTGAATCGCAATCGTTTCCGCAAAATTTTCCATACGGTTGGCTGGGGAATACCAAGTTCACTTCCTGCTCTGCTAGTGAATCTGTGTCTAACGGCGTCCACCATTTCGTCAGGAACCCGTGGTCTTCCGGTACTTTTGCGTTTATTCATGGAACCTGTCTTCTTGAATTGTCGATACCATCGTAGAATGTTCTGATGACCTGGAGAATCAGTTCCATACCGCCGTCAGAATGCACTGTAACAACCGATAAACATCGCGCGTACGCACAAAACGCTTTCTGCTGCATAGTCGCCATTTTGTGTACTGAGCTCGTGGCGCTACCTAGGCAGGTAAAGCGGCGTTCGAATATTTTCCTTTTCTAGTGATATGTCATTTGATATTATATTTGCAATACTCTCTGAAATATCAATTTTTAATACCCGATGATTCTTTTGTAATAACGTTGTATATAATAATAAAAAGATACAACTGACAAAAGGTCACACGCCTTGGAAAATCAATGGGAACGCCTGTACTGTCAAAATATGGTAAGGGTATAACAAAAAATCCACTAAAGTTCTCCAAACAATTTGATGGCAAATATTTAAGTGTCTAGCGATCGTCCTCGTACTCGTTGAAGGATGTTCTTCGACTTCGTGCAGGACTGCTTCCTCAATTTCAGGTATTCCCACACTTAGAGGTCTACCTTCAGATGTTCCTTTTCAGACAGAACCAGTTTCAACAAGACGACGATATTAGAAAAGTTTCGACTATCTGGCAAAGCACGATCGGGATATCTCTGGTGATAAATCCGTGTGGCTTGCTCACCATTACCGTCGGCAAGCCCATATACGTAATGCAATTCCGCCATTTCTGCATTTGAATAATTCACCATTATAACAATATTGTAAGAACTAAATAATGAAAAAGATGTCACAGCGAACAGATCTGAATAACAGAGACCTGTCAGATGTCAAAAGCATGTGGCATATTCCAAGCAACTAGATATTTATTGCTAAATTGCATTCTTCAATTATACATCGATTTTCTCGGACAATAAAACGGTTTTTATTTTTTTACTCGAAAAGAAAAACAATTCGAGAAAAATAATTTGTTTTAAATTGAAGGGGGAAGTCAAAGATTATTTTTATTTGGCAAAAAATCATTAGCGTACCGTTTTTTTCTTAAAAAATGTCAAAGTCAATACCCGTACGCACGCCACTGTTAAAGCTAAAAACTATTTTTGCATCGAAAAATATGCAACTTCATCAACTTTCACTACTTACTAAGTATCAGTGAAATATCTAAAGCGGTTCTGAAAATATTAACTAATTTCCATTTTTTTCTTAAAACTTCTATACCCTCAGTTTTTGTAACCATAGTTTATAAAGCAAACTACATATCATTAATGAACACCCTGTATAATACCCTTGAGGCGGACCCAACTGAAGAGTCAAGACAAACCGACAGTAACTGTGACACTATATACTATAACTATTTAAAACTGTAATGACTCATACGCGTGATCAACACGTGATGAGAGCTCGATCCCGGCTTCCTTCCAGTACAGCCGTATAGCGTACGACATATGTCGTTTCTGTGGCTTTGCGGTGGTCAGCAGCACAGACAGAGATGGAAATAATGGCTGATTGTTCTCCGCCGGTAGAACCAATGAAATCAAAGACGCGCCTCGACCGGCAGACTCATAGGCGTCGGCAACGCATTGGAACGTGTTTCGTTGAGCGATCGCATATTGTGTGTTTTTATAAGAATTGTTGTGTGATTGTTATAGTTGTGGTTTCTGTGGTTACTGTATTGGTTATACTTAATCATGGAGAGTACAAATGGCACGAGTGGAAGTACTTAAAGCCAGGGAACAAGTAGACGGCTTCGTAAAGCACTGAACAGGGACGCGAAAGAAATCGTGCTCAACGTGTTCAATTATCTGAACAGAACTATGTCGCAGGGAGATGCACTCGCGCGTTGTGAAAGTATGACAGGCGTTCCAGAGTGGACCATTCGCAGGGTGGTGCATGAAAAGAAGAAAACTGGAGCTACTACTGATCCAAAGTTTAATTTGAAGGGACGAAAGGCCGTTAAATTGGATGACGATAGCAAAATGGCGTTAAGGCGAACCGTACATTCATTCTTCTTTAGGAATGAGATATCAACTCTCAAGGCTGCACATGCAGCGATCAAGGAAAATGAAATTATACCCCAAATGAGCGTCGAGGTAATGAGGAAATCCCTGCACGAAATTAATTTTCGTTACGAAACGCGTAATCGGAAGTCAGTATTGACAGAGAGGCCTGGGGTCGAAAATACCTAAGCGAAATGATTGAATATAGGCAACAAAGCAGAAAAATCTATTATTTGGACGAGACATGGGTAAATGCAGGTCACACAGTTAAAAAAACCTGGATAGACAAAAACGTAATGAGTAACCGACAAGCCAGCATTGAAGGTTTGTCAACAGGTCTTCGTGGACCGTCAGGGAAAGGTCAAAGATTGATCGTAACTCATATTGGTAGCGATAGTGGCTTTTTAGAAGAGTGTAACTTGATTTTCGTCTCTAAGAAAGGAGGTGATTACCATGTCGAAATGAATGCCAGCTGCTTCGAGAGCTGCTTTCAAGGCGTACTTCAACGAGTTGAGCCCAACTCTGTGATCTTCATGGATATTGCTTCCTACCATAGTCGTCAAGCCGAACGTGTACCGACTATGGGATCTCGAAAAAGTGGTATACAGCAATGGTTGCGC